CATCCCCGCCCCAGACTATATAATAGCTAAATGTATGCACTGAAGCCCACGGACCTACCTTCAAGTGCTCGCTCTGTGGCTCTCCGGCTATGTGTCTTGAGCCACGCCCTCTCTGAGCCTCTGTGGGCCACATTCCTCATAGGGTTACCAGAGTTAAGTGAGATAGTGCTTAGAAACCTCTGAACACAGTACTCAGTACCCACGAAACACCCAGTGAAGGTCATGCTTGTTATCTTTACTGCAGTAGAGCTCTTCCTCATCCCAACCCTCTCTCCTGTTTGTGTGACTGGGCGTGGACTGTTTGCTCACATGACTTACCACTATTTTGCCTGCTTTAGTACACTGCTTAAAAAAAAAAAAAAAAAGAGGCCGGGCAGTGGTGGCACGGGCCTTTGAGTCCAGCACTGGGGAGGCAGAGGCAGGCGGATCTCTGGGGAGAAAGGCCCCATTTTCTCTTTCTTTTCATGAAGTGAGGTGGACATGGGGTTGGAAGGTGTTTTATATATGGCACATGCTCAGTAAACATGATCTGTTGGTCGAGTACTCTGAATTTCAGCGTTATGGGAACAAGAATCTCGTCTGTGTGAGTCACTCTTCTATCTCCCAGGCACACAGAGGTCCCTTGATAAATGTATGTTGAATAAAAGAATGAATGGCCTCGGGCGGTGGTGGCACATTTTTAATCCCAGCACTCGGGAGGCAGAGCCAGGTGGATCTCCATGAGTTCGAGGCCAGCCTGGGCTACAGAGTGAGTTCCAGGAAAGGCACAAAGCTACACAGAGAAACCCTGTCTTGAAAACAAACAAACAAAAACAAAAACAAAAAAAAAGAATGAGTGGTTTCTCACAGCCCTCGACAGCCAGTGCCTGCAGAGGCCAGTCCGACCGTTGTGAGCCACTGTGTGTGCTAGGAATTGAACTCAGATCCTCTGGAAGAACAGTCCATGCTCTTAACCCCTGAAGCATCTCTTCACCACTCCCAGTACCATGCCCTTTTTCTTTCTTTTTTTCCCTTTTTTTTTTTATCGTGTGTGTGTTTCTCTGTGTAGTTTTGGAGCCTGTCCTGGTAGACCAGGCTGGCCTCGAACTCACAGAGATCTGCCTGCCTCTGCCTCCCAAGTGCTGGGATTAAAGGCATGCACCATCACTGCCTGGCTCCATTTTTCTTTTGAGGCACTATCCCTCTGTATAAGTTAGGGTTTTGCTTGCTATGACAAATGACTGTGACCAATTCGACTTATAAAGGAAAACATTGAATTGGCTTAGGTCTCAGAGGATTAGAACTCATGATGTCGGACCAAAGGCATGGAAGCAGGAACAACTGAGCATCCACATCGTCGCATCGTGATCCATAAGCAGGGGGTAGGGAGCACACTTTTGAAATCTCCAAGCCCACCCCCAGTGACACACCTCCTCCAACAAGACCATCCTTCCTAATCCTTCCTAAGCAGTTCCACCAACTGGGGATGAGTCTGAGTGATATAAATGTTCCTGGCAGTGTGTTTGAGGAAGTGTATCTGGCTGTGCCCAAAACCATACCCTTGATTTTCATTAGAGATCATCAGTTCCCTTT